CACATGCACGTTGGATGAGGCAGTTCTAGGTCTGGCTCTTCTATTTCCCAGCTGTGTGTCCCAGGCAAGTCATTCAACCTCTCTGGGCCTCCATTGCCTCACCCGCCTCACCCGCCTCACCCGCCTCCCCTGCCTCACCCGCCTCCCCTGCTTCACCCGCCTCACCCGCCACCCCTGCCTCACCCGCCTCCCCTGCCTCACCCGCCTCCCCTGCCTCACCCGCCTCCCCTGCTTCACCCGCCTCACCCGCCACCCCTGCCTCACCCGCCTCACCCGCCACCCCTGCCTCCCCTGCTGCATACCCAGCTATTGGCAGCAACTGGCACACAGTGTGCACAGCAAAAATGAGTGAAAGGGACAAGGGAATCTGTCCCTTCTCCTCCTCTGCCTGGTTTTTCAACAGTGAAACGGGAGGTGAGTTTGTGATAGCCTGCCACCCATTGGGCAGTGCGGGGAGTAAAGCAAGATCATGAAACTGCAGACTCTAAAGCTTAAGGATCTGCTGTGCGACTTTGGGCCAACCCATGTTCCTCTCTGGACCTCTGCTTTTCCATCTGTACAATGGGCTGGGAGGGTTCAACCTTCCCAGCCATCTAAGACTGAGCATGAGGTCTTTCTGCATAAACTGAAGAAAGAGCCCACGCTGTCCTCAGAGAGTCCCACCTCGGGGCTGAGCCCCCCGACTCCCACCTCGGGGCTGAGCCCCCCGACTCCCACCTCAGGGCTGAGCCCCTGCCGTCCCTCAACTGTTCCAAGGCCCCTGCTTATCCTTAGCCTCCTGCAGCTGCCCCATACCCCAAGGCCCTGACCCCTGCTCCGAGGGCACCTCCCCAGCTCCTGCTAACCTAGCTGAGGCCCAGCAAGCTGGCACTGCCCTGCCCCACCCTGCAACACCCACGAGCCGGCTGACCTTGCTGATGTGAAACTCCATCTTCCGAATGTGCCTTTCCACACAGCGCGTTTGCTTCTCCCGGAAAAAGGGAAGATGTTTGCAAAGTCGCCCGGGCCACCTGCCGGCCCTGCTTGCCCCCGCCACCCTCCTGCAGGTCCTAACTCAGAGAATGGGGTTTAGTGCTGGGCCGGGCCCTCACCATCCCTGAGGAAGGCTCATCGCAGAGCCTCAGCCTTCCCATTCCTAAAATGGGGAGGAAACCCAGGTATTCTGCCCATCGGGCAGCCAGGAGGATGCAATGAGGCACAGGCATTCTCATCCGGCAGGGCCCAGCTCACCTCACTCACCATATGCAGACTCACCTTGTCCAGGTCGTAATAGAAAGCCTGTGGGGGAGGAAAGGAAGGCGGAAGAAGCTGTCAGAGTCCCACATGTTCCTCCAAGGCCTATGAGGCTTTATGCTGGCATTGCCTGAGCTCAGAGTCAGAGGACAGAAAGCCATGTCTACAGCCACCCCCACTCCTTCCTCTGCCAATGGCAGGCTGCTGTCTACGCCAAGGACAGCACTGATTAAACACATGCACGTTGGATGAGGCAGTTCTAGGTCTGGCTCTTCTATTTCCCAGCTGTGTGTCCCAGGCAAGTCATTCAACCTCTCTGGGCCTCCATTTCCTGCTATGTAAAGCAGGGTAGGAGAAGCGCCTGCCTCATAGGGAGAAAAAAGGACACAGAAGGCCCTTGACAAAATGGGAACCATTGGGATTGAAGGGATGGCCTCAGCCATGACCAAAAGAATGTGAGGGGGATGGAAGCGGGAGGGGCACATGGCACAGAAGTTCAAGCCTTAATGGTGAATTCCTAAGTCTATCCATTCCAGAGACCAGGGTGCGACCAAGACAAATAATATATCATCAGGGCAGGCAAACCTTTCCATAGGTTTATAAAGGGCCAGATAGTAAATATGTCAGGTTTGGCAGGCCAGGGCGCCCCATGCCAAGATCTATAAATTAGAACCATCCTGGCCAGGCGCAGTGACTCACGCCTGTAATCCCAGCACTTTGGGAGGCTGAGGTGGTCAGATCACTTGAGGTCAGGTGTTCGAGACCAGCCTGGCCAACATGGCGAAACCCTATCTCTACTAAAAATATAAAAACTAGCTGGGCATGGTGGTGCATGCCTGTAATCCCAGCTACTTGCCAGACTTGAGGCAGGAGAATCACTTGAACCTCAGAGGTGGAGGTTGCAGTGATCCAAGATCGTGCCACTGTACTCCAGCCTGGGCGACAGAGCGAGACTCAATCTCAAAAAAAAAAAAAAAAAAAAAGTAGGACCATCTAAAACATACACATCTTTGCCTACCTTAGAGTTACTTCTAGAACCAAGAAAGAGAATGTGAAGTGGGCCTAAGGCATGTGAAGTGCTGTACCTGCCTGTGGGATTAAGTTCATCAGGGTCAAAGCTCTGTCCTAACTAAGCAACTCTGCCATCATAGCGGGAAAGCAGCCACAGACAATATGTACATGAACAAGTGTGGCCAAGAAACTTTTTTTTAAACAAATGTTTAAAAAACTCTTGTTTTTTAAGTGGCTCTAATTTTAAAATATAGTGACTCTAATTTTTCACTGACTGTTAATTGCCAGTGGAGATTACAGTCACTATGTCTGAACCTGGAGGGGTTACCATGAGGTTGGAGATCCACCAGGAAGAAAAAGTAAGCTGTAGGAGAGTATGTAAATTGACATTTCATTTTTGTAAGACAATTATTAACTCACAACTGCTAAACACATTTACATGATTATGTGACCAGAGAGAAAAATATGGAAAGATCAATACAAAATTGTTCTCAAGGGTTAAACAGGGTGGGACACAGAAGATCGAATGGAGGAGGGCATCAATCAAGAGAGAAAGGATTCAACCCCAAAAAGTCCCATGTATGTATTTATGTGAAATTGTACGTATACGATAAAGAAATAAAAATTCCATTTAAGCCAGGTAAAGTGGCTCACACCTGTAATCCTAGCACTTTGGGAGGCCAAGGCAGGAGGATCACTTGAGCCCAGGAGTTCAAGACCAGGCTGGGCAACATAGCAATACCCCATCTCTACAAAAAATGTAAAAATTAGCTGGGCATGGTGGCACACACCTGTAGTCCCAGCTACTCAAGAGGCTGAGGTAGGAGGTTTGCTTGAGCCCAAGAGTTCAAGGTGATGGAGAGCTATGATCGTACCACTGCACTTCAGCCTGGGTGACAGAGTAAGACCTTATCTCTTTAAGAATAAATGAATGAATGAATGTATGAATAAATAAATAAATAAATAAAATCTTTTAAAAATTAAGAAACAATTAAAACTTCATTTAAGAAATAAAGAAATAGGACTGGCACGGTGGCTCATGCCTATAATCCTAGCATTTTGGGAGGCCAAGGTGAGTGGATCACCTGAGGTCAGGAGTTCGAGACCAGTCTGTCCCACACGGTGAAACCCCCTTTCTACTAAATAAAAAATACAAAAATTATCCTGGCATGATTGTGTGTGCCTGTAATCCTAGCTACTCGGGAGGCTGAGGCAGGAGAATCACTTGAGCCTGGGAGACAGAGGTTGCAGTGAACGGAGATCTTGACACTGCCCTCCTAGGCTGGGTGACAGAGCGAGACTCCATTCCGGAAAAAAAAAAAAAAAAAAAAAAAAAAAACAAAGAGGAAAGATCCCAAGCCTTTGAAAAGAAGAGTGACTACCCAGCAACGTCTCGAAAACCAGTATCTGTTTTAAATGAGAACCAGCAGTGTCACAGGAGCAGGACCCAACATAGGCATCTTGCTGTGTGGCTCCAGTGCGGTCACTGTGTCCCGGCCTCAGTGTGCCCATCTATGACATGGGAGCAGCTAAAACATACATGTATTTATACTCTTGCCTACTTTAGAGTTACTTCTAGAACAGAAAGAATGGGAAAGGAAGTCCACGGGGTGAGACTCGCTGCACCCGTGTGAGAAGAGGGGCAGGTGCTGGAGCTGGATGAGATCTTGGCAGCACCTCCTCCCACCATCTGCTGCTGGTCACCCGCCCAACTGTCCACCAAGGGTGAAGCATGCTAAGCTTGGCAGACCTTTCCCTCCCCAAGTCCCTGCCTGGCACAGGCATGAGGCTGGACCCTTACCTCTCCCACCCTGCCCACTCCAAGGCCCTCTCTGCTGGGGCCAGGATACAGAGAAAGCTGCTTGTTGGCTTGCTTATTTCATTCATTCATTCATTCATTCATTCATTCATTCATTCATTCATTGAAACAGAGTCTGGCTCTATCATCCAGGCTGGTGTGCAGTGGTGTGATCTCACCTCACTGCATCCTCCGCCTCCTGGGTTCAAGCTATTCTCCTGCCTCAGCCTCCCGAGTAGCTGCGACTATAGCTGCCCACCACCATGCCTGGCTAATTTTTGTATTTTTAGTACAGATGGGATTTCATCATGTTGGCCAGGCTGGCTTCAAACTCCTGATCTCAAGTGATCCACCTGCCTTGGCCTCCCAAAGTGCTGAGATTACAGGCGTGAGCCACTGCGCTGAGCCGCTGGATGCTATTTTAGTAGAAAAACTCATCTCCCCTCCTCGATTTCCCAGTCCCTCAGTCAAGCTGGTGGCCTGCTCTGCAGGTTGGCGCTTTGGAGGAGGGATTCTGGGAAACACTGGCTGGGAGGAGAACCCCACAGCAGCAAGGCCTCCTTGCTTTTGTTTCCAAATCTAATTCATTAAGGACATGTGGGGTTTTCGCAAGGCAGCAGCGGAGACTTCCCAGATAAAAGGAAGATCCTCCCGCTGGAAGGATGAAGTCCCTGAGCAGTGGGATCCTAGCCATGTCACCAGATAAAATACAGGACACCTAATTAAAATTAAAATTTCCAATAAACAAGGAACAATTATTTTCACATAAGTATGTCCCAGAGATTCCATGGGATATACTTATACCTAAACAAATTTGTGATTTGTCTGAAAAACCAAAAGGGGAGGCCGGCACAGTGGCTCATGCCTGTAATCCCAGCACTTTGGGAGGCCGAGGCAGGCAAATCACCTGAGGTCAGGAGTTTGAGACCAGCCTGACCAATGTGGTGAAACCTTGTCTCTACTAAAAATGTGAAAAAACAGCTGGGTGTGATGGTGGGTGCCTGTAATCCCAGCTACTCAGGAGGCTGAGGCAGGAGAATTGCTTGAACCTAGGAGGCAGAGGTTGCAGTGAGCTGATACTGTGCCACTACACTCCAGCCTGGGCAACAGAGTGAGACTCCGTCTCAAAAAAAAAAAAAAAATTTTAATGAGGTATGCTATTTGTGAGTGTGTGTGTGTGTATGTGTGTTACTAAGTCTGTCTCTGCTAAGAGAAAGGCAAAAACCAGAGCAGGTGAGCCTTGAGCAACACAGGGCCCAGGGCCAGCCTCAAAGACACTGCCTTGGCTGGACACGGGAGGACTGCTGGAGCCCAGGAGTTCAAGACCAGCCTAGGCAACATGATGAGACCCTGTATCTAAAAAAACATGTTAAAAATTAGCTGGGCATGGTGGTGCACGCCTGTAGTCTCAGTTACTTGGGAGGCTGAGGTAAAAGGAACGCTGGAGCCCAGGAGGTGGAGGTTGCAGTGAGCCGGGATTGTGCCACTGGACTCCAGCCTGGGCAACAAAGGGAAATCCTGTCTCAAAAAAAAAAAAAAGACGCTCCCCTGATGATGGCAGGAAATGCTGCCTGTCAGCTGCACACTGAAGGAACACGCAGGCTTCATCAAGGACAGCGGCGGGGGCCACTGTGACATACCCGAGATGTGACACCTGACCCACTTTCCTGGCATTACAGAAGCCATCTCAAGTCCAGGTCACCTGATGGCCAAGGTCTATAAAGTAGGACGACCTAAAAGAAATGCACCTCTATACTCTGCCCACCTTAGCGTTACTTCTAGAACCGAGAGAGAGTGTGACGTGGGCCTAAAACGTGTGAACTGCTCTATGTGCCAAAGTGAAGTTAACTCAGCACAACATAAAGAGGCTATTCCGTAAACCTCTAGTTCTGAGACAGAGTCACACCGTGACATAGGCTAGGGGGAACGCAGGTTCATCTTTTACTCCTGGCCGAGGCTATCTGGGTGGGAAGCAGGCAGGGAGGGGTCTCACCAGCCTGGAATTCCTCCTGGTGTCCTTGTGGCGTCCAGACAGGTGGTCCAGCTCAGCCTGCTGCACACACAGATACTCCCTGCAAGGAGAGCGAGGAAGAGTTTCAAATGGAAGAGGAACAAGAAAGGGAAAGGAAACAGGCCAAATGGACAGTGTCCCCGTGTGGAGAGCAGACACGGGGCTCAGCGGGGCTCAGAAGCAGGTAGGAAGCCCAGCCCCCTCTCACTGGGGGCTGTGTGCCCAACACCGTGCAAAATTGGTTATGGGGAAGTTCCTAGTTAATTCCCCCACCAGGCCCACAAGTAGGTCCTACTGTTATTATGTGCATTTTATTTCTTTTTGTTGTTGTTGTTGGTTTATTTGAGACAAGGTCTCCCTCTCTTGCCCAGGCTGGAGCGCAGTGGTGTGATCACAGCTCACTACAACTTCTACCTCCTGGGTTCAAGTGATTCTTGTATCTCAGTCTCTTGAGCAGCTGGGACTATGGGTGTGTGCCACCACACCTGGCTGATTTTTGTATTTTTAGTAGAGACGGGGTTTCACCATGTTGGCCAGGCTGGTCTCGAACTCCTTGACTTCAGATGATCCGTCTGCCTTGGCTTCCAAAAGGGCTGAGATTACTGGCATGAACTACTGCGCCCAGCCTAGTATATGTATTTTAAAGACAGACAAACCAACCCTCGAAGGCAGCAAGTACCCCAGCCCTGGTCACACAGCAGACAAGAGGCTGACCCAGGTCTGAAACCACACAGTGGCCTTCAGAGCCCAAAATCTTCACCCCCTCCCAAGCTGGGGCCCAGCTCATGGGGAGGCCATCATGGCACACCTCCCTCAAGGTCAAGGGTCTAGACCAGGCGCGGTGGCTCACGCCTGTAATCCCAGCACTTTGGGAGGCTGAGGTGGGCGGGATCACAAAGTCAGGAGATCGAGATCATCCTGGCTAACACGGTGAAACCCCATCTCTACTAAAAATACAAAAAAAATTAGCTGGGTGTGGTGGCACACACCTGTAGTCCCAGCTACTCAGGAGGCTGAGGCAGGAAAACTGATTGAACCCAGGAGGCGAAGGTTGCAGTGAGCCGAGATGGCGCCACTGCACCCCACCCAGGCAACAGAGCGACTCCGTTCCAAAAAAAAAAAAAAAAATAGGAGGCGTCTAGATATGTGGTGGGCCAGGGCAGGGAGTCCCATCTTGCTGGATTTGCTGAGTCACCCCACGAAGGTCACTCACCCTCTCTGGGCTCTACTGACACCACCTCAAATGTGGAAAAGAGAGCTTCTGCCAGGCTGCTACTCACTGAAGTGTTGAGCTCTCTGAGAAGAAGGGGCTGCCTTGGCCCCAGACAAGTCTCAAACATGTGGTCCTTAAAGGACACAGAATCTGCCCTTCAGAAACATGCTCTACCCTCCATGCACATCCTAGCTCCAACTCTGCACAATCCCAGCTCGCTGCAACCTCCACCTCTACAGGGTTTTGCCATATTGCCATGCTGGTCTCGAACTCCTAGGCTCAAGGAATCCACCTGCCTCAGCCTCCCAAAGTCCTGGGATTACAGGGTGGCCACCACTGTGCCCGAACAAGGATGTATATTTTGAAAACCATTTCATTCTAAGGTGGTTTCACTTTTTTTATTTTTTGAGTCTTGCTCTGTCGCCTAGGCTGGAGTGCAATGGTGTGATCTTGGCTCACCACAACTCCCACCTCCCGGGTTCAAGTGATTCTCCTGCCTCAGCCTCCTGAGTAGCTGGGATGACTGACATGCCCCATCATGCCCGGCTAATTTTGTATTTTTAGTAGAGACGGGGTTTTACCGTGTTGGCCATGCTGGTCTCAAACTCCTGAACTTGTGATCTGCCTGCCTTCGCCTCCCAAAGTGCTAGGATTACAGGCCCACCGTGCCCGGCCTGGTTTCAACTTTTAATTGACTCTGGTTCCTCTTTCAGATGCCCCGTCTATAAATAAGAGATGTAGGGGCTGGGCGTGGTGGCTCAAGCCTGTAATCTCAGCACTTTGGGAAGCTGAGGCAGGTGGATCACAAGGTCAGGAGTTCAAGACCATCCTGGCCAATATGGTGAAACCCCATTCTACTAAAAATACAAAAAAAAATTAGCCAGGTGTGTTGGCAGATGCCTGTAGTCCCAGCTCCTTGGAAGACTGAGGCAGGAGAATAGCTTGAACCCAGGAGGTGGAGGTTGCAGTGAGCTGAGATCGTGCCACCGCACTCCAGTCTGGGTGACAGAGTGAGACTGTCTCAAAAAAAAAAAAACAAAGATGTAGGTAGGAGAGAATTTAGGGTCTAAGTACCACTGTATCTGGGGAAAATCACTCCGGGAAACCACTTTTTGGCCCACAAGGCCCCCTGTCATCTGGTCCCCATTGCCCGGTGACCTCATCCTCTTTCCTTTGGCTCTAACCACGCTGGCCTCCTTGCTGCGCCCCAGGGCCTTTGTGTATGTGGCTAGCCTGGCCTGGAATGTTCTTTTCCCATTATCCGCATGGCTCACTCCACCCCTTCAGGCGTGTGCTCCAATGTCACCTTCTCAGCAAGGCCTTCCCTTCCAATTGCCCAATTTAAAATGAACCCTCCCTGCCTCCGCCTTCTTACCCAGGCCTGTTTTCCTCTGTGGCCCTTAACACCATCTGATATTCTCTGTCCTTTTCTTTTCTGCATTGTGTATTGTCTGTCTCTTCCCCACTAGGAGTCAGCTCTGCAGTGGGTAGGGATTTTGTGTGTTTAGTTTACTTCTGTCCCCTGGCCTGGCACTCTGTAAGCCTCAATAAATATTTGTGGGCTGAGCATGGTGGCTTACGTCTGTAATCCCAGCACTTTGGGAGGCCAAGGCAGGCAGATCACTTGAGTCAGGAGTTCAAGACCAGCCTGGCCAACATGGCGAAACTCCGTCTCTACTAAAAATACAAAATATTGACTGGGCACGGTGGCTCACGCCTGTAATCCCAGCATTCTGGGAGGCTGAGATGAACGGATCACCTGAGGTCAGGAGTTTGAGACCAGCCTAGCCAACATGGTGAAATCCTATCTCTACTAAAAATACAAAAAATTAGCCAGGCGTGGTGGCAGGCGCCTGTAATCCAGCTACTCGGTAGGCTGAGGCAGGAGCTACTCTCGGCCTCTGCTTTCTCATCTGTAAAATAAGGAGCCTAGGCCAGGTATGGTGGCTCACGCTTGAACCCGGGAGACAGAGGTTGCAGTGAACCAAGATCATACCATTGCACTCCATCCAGGACAATAAGAGTGAAACTCCATCTCAAAAAAAAAGGAAAAAAAAAAAAAATATATATATCTATATATATATCTATATATATATTAGCCTGGTGTGGTGGTGTGCACCTATACTCCCAGCTAGTCGGGAGGCTGAGGCAGGAGAATTGCTTGATCCCCAGAGGCAGAGGCTGCCGTGAGCTGAGATTGCACCATTGCACTTGAGCCTGGACAACACAGCAAGACTCCATCTCAAAAAAAAATTTGTGGAGTGACTCATTCTTCCTGTGCGGGCCTCAGCCCAGCTCATCAGTCAGTCTCTGAGCAAGTCTGTCCTTCGCTCAGACACCCACTGCCCTGACCTCCTGTGTGTGTGAGCTCACAGTTCAGGCTCCCACTGAGGGGCCTTTGCCCGTGCTGTTGCCTCTGCCTACAACGCTTGTCCCCCAGAGGTGAGCATGGTGGCGCCTTTTCAGACCGTTTGTGTGTCAGACACTGTCAGTACCTCCTCGGTGACTGCCAGGATCATCCTGTCTGCTGAGGCCCTCGACATACCGTCTCTCTGTTACCCTTCTCCACTGCACTCAGCACAGGTGGAAGTTCCATGATGGACTGCATGATTGATTGCACTGCTTCTTGATTGATAGCATCAAATCTGCTCCTCTGCACTGCATGCTCCACAAGACCAGAATCCTCCTGCCTTAGTCACTGCCAGGTTTCCAGTGCCCAAGAACCGGGCTGAGCACATGGCTGCACCGTGACATACTTGTTGACTAAACGAATGACCAGGAACTTAACCTGTCACCTCTTGTAGACAAGACCCACCCACGCTTCCCCAGGAAGAGACAGAGAGGAGGTGAGGTAGAAGAATGCACTTCTTAGAAGCAGCACACAGCCCAGCCTTACTTGAGGCCTCTTTTCAATGCTTCGAAGATCTTCTTCACCTGCTGGGGCTTGGGGTCTGCACAGACCGACCCCTTTCGCAGCGTGCCGTACAACTTGGAGGATTTTGCAGGCATTCGCGATCTCACGGAGTTCCTGTTGATGGACTTTCTGTGAGAAGGGGTGGAGAGGAAGAGAAATCAGAGCCCGGTCCTGACAAAGCCCTCTCCAGGGGCAGACACTTTGGAAATAGTGACCAGAGCCACAGGGAGTCAGGAGACCCGGCTCAGTCCCACCCCCATCACCACCAAGCAGTGTGGTCTCCAGAAAGTTATGGAGCCTCTCTGAGCCTCTGCTTTCTCGTCTGTATAATAAGGATCTGGGGCCGGGCACGGTGGCTCATGCTTGTAATCCCAGCACTTTGGGAAGCTGAGGCAGGTGGATCACCTGAGATCAGGGGTTCAAGACCAGTCTGGCCAACGTGGCGAAACCCTGTCTCTACTAAAAATATAAAAATTAGCCAGGTGTGGTGGTACATGCCTGTAATCCCACTTACTCCAGAGGCTGAGGCACAAGAATCGCTTGAACCTGGGAGGCGGGAGGTTTCAGTGAGCCGAGATTGCACCACTGCACTCCAACCTGGGTGACAGAGTGAGACTCCATCTTAAAAAATAAATAAATAAAAATAAAAATAAAAATAAGGAGCCTGGATTTGAGGATTAAGAGTAATAAAGCCCTTCTGCCATGGCTGCCACTGGAGAGCAGCAGCCTTGGCTCTGCACTACCCTATAGCCATAGGCCTCAACAAGGACCACAAAGTGACCAAGAGCGTGAGCAAGCCCAGGCACAGCCGCCACAGCAGGCGTCTGACCAAATACACTGAGTTTGTGTGGGACATGATCTGAGAGCTGTGTGGCTTTGCCCCATACGAGCGGGGCGCCATGGAGTTACTGAAGGTCTCCAAGGACAAACGGACCCTCAAGTTCATCAAGGAAAGGGTGGGGATGCACATCTGTACCAAGAGGAAGCGGAAGGAGCTGAGCAATGTTCTGGCTGCCATGAGGAAAGCCACTGCCAGGAAAGACTGAGCCCCATCCCCTGCCCTCTCCCAGAAATAAAGACCACTTGATAAAAAAAAAAAAAAAAAAAAAAAAAGTAGTAAAAGTCTGATATCGGAAATGAACTTACAGCAAGAAATACAACCAAGCAGCCCAAATGCCAATGCTCTCTGATCAGCATGCTCTGCCTGTGCAGGCAAAGCCGTGTAGGAGGCCAAGTCATAGTCCTGTGCTTTACCCACGGGGAGGCATCTGTTGGCTTTACCTGCCCAGCTTCCATCCCCTCCCTCTAGTAGTAGCACCTCAATTTTCCTCTGGGGAACCTCCCCAGCTTTGCTTTTTATACTTGTGGTTTGGGGGAAAGGTAGCCTGACCAATCAACATGCACACACACATTGCACACGCACACGTGCACACGAGCATTCTTCCACAAATCCACATCCCAGGCCTGCGCTAGTCAACATATTCTGCTCCCCTAGGCCAAGAAATATGGGGATCAAACCTGGCCAGTAGCCAGCCAGGAGTTCAGAATTCACAGAAGGGAGAAGGGCTTTTTTCCCCTGGCATTGCTAACCTGGGGAACATACACCCGGGACTTCCAGCCTCCTCCATTTGCCACCATGTAGGGAAACTGGAGCCAACACAGAGAGGAACAAACAGAGTCAGGCCAAATCTCTATGACAGTAAGTTCCTGGATCCAGCTATGTCTAAAGCTGAACCTGCCCATGGGCTTTGCAGTTACATGAGCCAACTGACTCTTTTTTAGCTTAAGCCAGCTGGAGTTGGGAGTGTGGACTGGATGATCCTAAAAACTGCCTTTCAGTGGCGACGGCTGGGTCCCCCAAACTTTAGCGATGCAGCAGCATCTCAAGACTGATTACAGGAGTACGAGGCCAGGGCACCCTCATCACAGCACAGAACTGGTTTCCCTGGCATCTAAGCCCGTTCTCAGGATCCCATAACTTATCCATGAGCCTTGAGGACCAGGTTGGTTGATGAAGCCTTTGCTCACCAACAGATGTGTTGAAGTCCGCTCTTAGCCCTCTAAAGCCATCGGCCAGGTGCCCTGGCACCAGGTATCACTTAATGACCACATTCTCACAAAAGAGACATGGCAGAAATGACTCTTAGAACTAACTTTGGCATCTTTTTTTTTTTTTTTTTTTGAGACGGAGTGTCGCTGTCACCCAGCCTAGAGTGCAATAGTGCAATCTTGGCTCACTGCAACCTCCACCTCCCGGGTTCAAGCGATTCTCCTGCCTCAGCCTCCCAAGTAGCTGAGATTACAGGCATGCACCACCACACCTGGATAATTTTTGTATTTTTAGTAGAGACGGGGTTTCACCTTGTTGTCCAGGCTGGTCTTGAACTTCTGACCTCAAATGATCCACCTGCCTCAGCCTCCCAAAGTACTGGGATTACAGGTGTGAGCCACCGCGCCTGGCTCGGCATCAGTTCTCACAGGGGACTACTGGCCCTTCTCTTCCAACTCCTCCTCTTCCCAGGGGCAGGAATAAGGGTATGCTGGAAGCAGCTTCAACCCACCCCAAAAGCTGACTGAGCAACAAAAGAGAAGGAACAGACCCTGAACAGCCTTGTGAAGCAGACCGCCCGCCACACACATGCCCTCATCCACCCACTGGCTCCGGACTGCAGAGAGAGAGAGAGGAATAACCAATCTTAAGTAAGCACCTGCATTTTGGGGGTCCTTTTATCAAAACAACTTCATCTCTACACTAACACACCACCCAAGCCTCTGTCTTTTCATCGGTAAAATGGAACCACATAATACATCAGAGGGTGGTGCTGAGAATTCTATTAGATGCCACGCCCAAAATATGGCACAAAGGAGACCTTTGACATTCGAGCTATTGTCAGAATCGTCACATCCTATCTGTATCTTTCCCCTGGCTCACAGCTTAGAAAACATTAGGTGCGGGCTGGGTACTGTGGCTCACACCTGTAATCCCAGCACTTCGGGAGGCCAAGGCGGGTGGATCAACCGAGGTCTGGAGTTTGAGACCAGCCTGGCCAACCTGATGAAACCCCATCTCTGCTAAACAAAAAATTAGCTGGGCATGGTGGTGGACACCTGTAATCCCAGCTACTCGGGAGGCTGAGGCAGGAGAATCGCTTGGACCTGGGAGGCAGAGGTTGCAGTGAGCCGAGATCATGCCACCGCACTCCAGCCTGGGCAGCAAGAGCGAAACTCCGCCTAAAAAAAAAAAAAGAAAAAAGAAGAAAATATTAGGTACTTCGTAAATATTAAGCTCAGCTGAATGGAGGAAAATATAGCATCCCAAGAGGATTGGAGAACAGAGATCCTGGCCCCTGCAGGCAGAGTGGGACAGCGAGTGCACCCCTGGGTGTTCCCAGCTGGGGACAGAGGGAGCAAGGGTGGAGAGGGGCACCTGTTGTGCTCTGGGAGTGGACAGCAAGGAGCAAGGTTTGACCCAAGCAGAAGTGGGAGTCTGCAGAGGGCCTGGACCCAGGGCCTCTCTAGCTTTGGAGACCCAGGATGTGTGAGAGGAGCAGAAGGGCAGCTCCCAGAGAAAGTCCAGCTTCCAACACCTTTACGATGACAAGTAATGTCTGTAGAGCAGAGAAACTAAGCTCAGGCCAGGGCTACTGGGCCGCTGAACAGCTGATACCACAAGCCCAAGGGCCCCGGGAGCTTAGTGAGAACACATGAGCTTAAGTAACTGGGGCAACTGCAGCCGCCAGGGCTTTATAGAAATATCTCGACTTCCACAACCACCCTAGGAGACAGGTATTATAATATATATATATATATATATTTTTTTTTTTGAGACGAAATTTCGCTCTGTCAAAAGGCTGGAGGGCCGTGGCATGATCTCTGCTCACTGCAACCTCCGCCTCCCAGGTTCAAGCGATTCTCCTGCCTCAGCCTCCCCAGTAGCTGGGATTAGAGGCATCTGCTACCACGCCCAGTAATTTTTGTTTTTTTTTTAAGTAGAGACGAAGTTTCACCTTGTTGGCCAGGCTGGTCTCGAACTCCTGACCTCAGGTGATCTGCCTGCCTTGGCTTCCCAAAGTACTGGGATTGCAGGCATTAGCCACCGCACCCGGCCATTTGTATATATTTAATGTTAATTGATGCTTTCCAAAGCCCAGAGGGGCTGTGCTCCCTCTTCCCCTTGCCCTCCCTGAGGCCCCATCACCCACCTTTTGAACCGGGCCCTCCGCAAGGTTGCCATCTCAAGGCCGACAGAGATGGTCAGGGCTGCAGCCTCGGGGAAAGGCGGGTTTCTGACAGGTTAGAGACCCCGGCAGGCAGGCAGCAGGCAGTGGGGCAGGCAGTTTGGAGGTGGGGCTGCAGGAGCCGGCTCACTCCCAGCTCCCACCTCCAGTCCCCAGCAGGTGTGCACCCTTGGCCTAGCCCTGCTTCCGTCCACCTGGGGACCTTATACCCTCACTGCTGCAGCCATACCTGAATGCACCTGCTCCTGGGAAAGCTCTGAGCCCCGTGCTCCTTGTCTGAGGTTCAACAGGACAGGCACAGTGGCCACTCTGAGGGCCCGCCCACCCGGGGAAGGTGATGCGCGTGCAGCCTCCAGATGGCCAAATCAGGCTGCATGCCTGGCCCAGGTGTCACAGAAGCCGGGGCAGGGAGAGCCTCTGGGGCCGGATGTTTCACCAGGTCTGGGAGGACTCAGTAAATATTAAACAGCCCCTGGCATGCCAGACAAGCTTCCAGACGGGCACATGCAACCCGCCGGCCCCAGCCCTCATGTGAGGTTGCTACAGCAGTCCTTCTGCCTGTTGTGGTTGACAGAGGCCTTGGTACTCGGCTGTTGCAAGTGCAGGCTCTGGAGGCAGACAGGGCTGGGCTCAAGTCCTGCACCTGCCCCCAGCCTCCAGGCAGGGCAATTATAGGACTGACTGCACAGGCTTCAGGTGAAGACTCCATGCAACAAGGACATGAGCCAACCATTTACCCAGGTGACTGGCGGTGTTGGCCGCTCGGTGATGATGACAGGCATGCACTCGGCACTTGTCAAGTTCAAGCTCTGCTCTCAGCGCTTTTGTTTTTTTTTTTTTTTAACTGAGACGAGGTCTTGCTCTGTCTTCCAGGCTGGAATGCAGTGACGT